GCGGCCGGTGGAGAAGAAGGAGTTTTTGAATTTTTTCAGTCAGAACTTCGCTTGACTTTTTGAACGGGTCCCACTGACGGCGCCAATAAAGTGAAATAGATTTCACCCGGGCTCATTCAACTCGAACAGCCTCCGTACCTGCAGAACCCAACGTAGGGGGTGGCCCCAGCGTCGGGCCTTCGATGCTTAAGTCAGTGCTCAGATCAAGAGAGAGAGAGAGTGTGTAATATGGAATGAATAGAGATAATGAGAGAAAGTGATACCTTAGCCCCCTTTTATAGGGAGAGTGTACCTTTTTGTGCTCAAGTTGGGCTCGGCCCATATTCTTATGCTCTATATCTTAGTTCGTACGTTGGCTTATCCTCCAATATGTATTCGTTGTATCCATTAAACCCGGTATAGTATAATATCCTATATCACATATTAATATCCTTTTCATATTAATTTAAAATTATACTAATTTAATGAAGAATTTATATCTTGTTACATATTGATTCCATATTTTTAATTTATTAATATTGTTTATTGAATATTTTTATTTACAAATATTAAGAAGTATCTCTTTCCCTGCATCACACGTTGATACATAAAATTTGACAACGTTGTTAAAATCTGAAGAATTACATGGTCTTGTTGGTTAAGGTTGGCCATGCACGTAACCAAAAATTACATTCACATAACTATATAGTAGTATATAGTTGGATGTATGAATATGATATGATCGTGTTTTCTTCCTTTTTTTTAAGAAAAAAAAACAAATAATCTAAGCACGAAATGTTATGGTCTCGTTACATAACCATTTCGTCAGAATTTGCAACCGTTAGATCATCGTATAACCGTCGGAGATAGTTGATCTAACGATGACAAACTCCGACAAAAAAATTATGTAACAGGACCGTAGCATCTCCAATTTCTTAGCATCTCCCAATCTGAGCACTAAATAAATAATAGCATTCCAATATCTGATTCTCTCTCATTACAGTTTTCCCATAATCTCCACCTTGTACGCTCCAATCATTATTCACCGTTCTTTCTCACAAACATCTGAAGATTCAAAGTACTATGATACCCTGTTTTGCTCCAAATCGTAAGCATTCCCATTTGATTCAGATCAAATCATCCTTCTGGTCAGTTTTTCCTTCTCTCTCTCTCGCCATAATCATGTGCATGCATGATTCTTGCGTTCTTCATAATGTGGATCATTTTTTTTTTTTTTTTTTTTAATGTGGATCAAATTTAATAACCGACTTTCGAACATTTTTCTGGGCTGATCAAATTTACAGTTCCGGCATTTTAATCAGTATTATCCGGATCATCTTGGTTATTTTGTGCCATTTGATACAAATTTTTCTTTTTTCTTCACAAAAAAATTCTTTACTTGGGTAGTTTTCATGTTGCACATGTCCTGTTTGTTTAAATGTCCCAGCGATATCTGGTGTGTTTGTTTGATTCTGTTGTTTGGGCTGTTCTGCCGATAATCATCAAGGATTTATTTGGGAAGCATTTTTTGCGGGGCCGTCCGTTAGATTCCCCATCATCGTACCGAATACAAACATGAGGCCGAATTGATGCAGAATCTGCACACAATCAGAAGATGAGGGGCTTGGATTCAAACGGCAATCTCGAGCTCAATGCGGCCTTACAAAACGACCTCGATTCGCTGCTACTCTTACAGCAGCACAATAACCGCGCTCCGGGCCTTGAACGCGAATGCGATTTGGACATAAACAGGAGCGGGAGCGCACCCCCGACTGTCGAGGGTGCGTTGGGGGCTGCCGGCAGCCTTTTCAACCATCCCGATTTCGCGAAAACCTATGAAACCGGGAAGAACATCAGCGCCACCATGAGTTTGCTGTCTGAAAACGAAATCCGGTCCCACCCTGCCTACTTGGAATACTATTACTCCAACGAGAATCTCAACCCTCGGCTCCCACCGCCCACTCTGTCGAAGGAGGATTGGAGAGTGGCACAGAGGATTAGGGCCGCATTTGGTTTGGGCATGAATGTGAACGATAGTAGTAATAGTAGTGGTGTTGGTGTGGGCACGTCTCTGTTTACGATGCAACCGGGTTTGTCTGTGAAAAAGAGCGAGGATGACTTGATGGAGCTGAGAAAGACGGCTTTGAGGAACCTGTCGAGGAAAAATTCGGTGGACTCGTTTGAGAAGGGCGGGAGTTTGAGTCCTGGAATGGGAGCTAGAAGGAAGAGCTTTGCTGATATACTTCAGGTTTTTTTATTTATATGCTTTTTCAAGTTTTAATAGTTTTGCTTTATCGTTATTATGTTGCTGCTCTTGAAAAGTTTTGCTGGATTTGAATGTTTGGTATATATGTTTCTTGCCTTTTTTTTTTTTTGTAGTTTTTCTTGGTAAATTCAATACTATTGCTGTAAATGGTTACATTCGTATTATTCATGTCACACGACGAATTTTGTTGGATATGTTAAATTAGTGTGGTGACGTTCAGTAGAATCTGTACCAATTAACTAGAGAATCGTGATATATTGTGTCTTTCTTGTAAATTAATTTCTCCATTTTAACTTGAAATAGTTGTACTGCTATGGGGCATCATATTTTACATGAAACAGAAATTGGGTTACAGCAACATTTTCGGGGTGCATAATCATTAAACTTATATCAAGCAAATAATTAATCATCTTCTTTTGGTTTGTGATTTTAGAGGACTGCAACACGCTCAAATAGCTCGTGTATGTCCCTTGCTCTCTTTCTTTTTTTAACTATGAAGTTAACTTAGGTGTAAGCAAAGGCACTACTTGCTTATACTAACCAAACATTCAGTCCTTGCTTGGGGAACAACAATATAAGATTCTCTTTTAAAAGTTGACCGATCTCCTTAGTCTGCACTTAAACAATGAAGAGAATATAATACTTACAAGATGATATTCAAAAGGCAACACTTAACTATATTTTCATGTATCCATGATCTAAGTTTCGTAAGTAGTAAATGTTTCCACAACATTAATTTTCATTCAATGTTCGATATTTTTTTTTTCGTACATACATTATATATTTCTTTACCTTTACATGCACATCACCTCTTTATCTGTATGTAAATCTTTTGACTTTTTTTTACAGGAAGGTCGTGGCCAACCTCTGAAATCAAACCTTTCACGTGCTGCTAGTCAGAGCTCAGTTGCTGATGCTGCAGATTCAACGGGAATGGCAAAATCGGAATCTTACGAATCTCTGGCTAGTGCCTCATCCAATCCAAGTGGTTTATCATCTCGAGCAAATTCAAGGGCCGAATTGCTTCCTGCTGATGGCTTGAGTTCCTCGCCCAGCATTTTTGAGATAGCCGATATTGCTGCTTCACTTTCCGCATTAAATGCTTCAAGAGGTCAACTTCACACAGAAAATATCCCTTTATCTGCTCTTCAGATGAACATCTTGAACGACATAAACTATGCCAATTTAAGGACAAACGAATATCCAAGGAGGGCATCTTCAACAAGTAGTCTTCTCCAATGCCAACATAATCCTTCTGATTTTGCGGGTCGGTATTTTTCTTGGTATTCCTGTTTATTTATTATTTTTATTTTTACTTTTGTTTTCAATGATTGTATTATAATTTGCTCTAGGTTCACGTCTGGGTGGTGCTAATGGACCGGGAGTGATTTCGAGAACCACTGCCCCCCCGCCAGGATTTCATTATCCTGTTGTGGGTCCCCACCAAATCCAATATTTGCCCAAAGCAAATTTTCCTCATAGCCATGATGACTTGCGGGCTTTGGAGAAAGCTTATCTCGATGCATTGCTTATGCAGAGGAGGCAGCAATATGAAGCACTCCTTTTACAGACAGCTGCCAGTATTGGTACTGCTCAATACCCCACGAATGCTGCATTTAGTCCATCAGCTGCTCCATTTCAAGAGAATCTTGGGCTAAATGCTCAGAGTCCGATAGTCGGTCCGAGAGGTCCGGCACCTCAGAAGGAGAAAAATGCTCAAATGCACTCGAATTTGAGAAATGTAAAGGGAGAATCGAGTGGAAGCAGTACGAAAGGAAGATTCGAGTCCCTTTTGGAAGTGCTCAAGAACAATAAGAGCAAATCTTTGGAACTCCCGGACATTGTTGATCATGTTGTTGAGTTAAGGTATTAATAAGCAGAAATTGGTATTTTATTTTGTTATATTAAAGGGATTGGTTGCCACTAGAGGAAGTGTACTGTTGTAGCTAAGGTGGAAAATAGATGAGAATCAGAAACTGATACAGTTTGCTCACAGAAGCTAGAAGCTCAGTAATTAAAGTGTTGGCAACAAATCAAAAATGTTTTCGTGTGTGCGGAATTCAAGTCAATATCAGAATAAAACTATCCTTTGGAGCCATAACTGACAACGAATATGTTTGCACACACACTTTACATTACATTTTCTCATACACTTTGTTTTCTTTATGGTTTAGCATGGATCAATATGGAAGCCGCTTCATTCAGCAGAAGTTGGAGAGTGCTACTGTTGAAGAAAAGACGAAGATACTGGCGGAGATTATCCCTAGTGCTCGTAGCTTAATGATTGACGTCTTTGGAAATTATGTCATTCAAAAGGCAAGTTTCTATTATTTCCATAAAGAACAATTGTTGGTAAAGAATAAGTTTCCAAAGCTAGTTAATGTTCTATTTTATTTCTTTATTATTATTTTTTTTTTATTTTTTATTTTTTATTTTTTTTTTTTG